AGGGGCAATGGAACGGCGACCGCCCCCGCCACCTAAGTGTCACATGGCCTGTGTGGGTCAGAAAGCTGACGCCAAATGACCCTGAAAGTGGCACGATCAGCGCGTGATACGAGGATAGCGCTTAGTAAACCGGGAGGAGGGAAGGGATAGCGAAGACGCCATGTGGAACAGTCACGCAAATATGTTAAATTTATGCATAGTAGGTCATTATAGGCATGTAGAAAGTGCCAGTAGACAAATGCAAGCCATAAGCAGGATCTTCGTGTTTAGGAAAACCTTACGATTGGGTTAGCATGGGAAATTTACGTTACGCAAACAAGGAATATCAGTGGTTACAGCTGCAGTTTTTAACGGGAAATCGGTTCTTGCTTGGTGTAGTTTATGTTGCACGAAGAATAAAAAAGGCCAAAGTCCGCGAGCTTTGCAATTTGCTAGTTGGTGCACAATCCTGGAAAATTTACAAAAATCTTAAAAATTAAACCAATGGTCAGATCTCCATATATTCCGAAGGCGGAATTATCGATTTCGTAGAGGCCACATTCTGATGACCACCGCTGAGTATTGCGTTGCCGAGCAGGGGAAAATACGCGTCGAAAGAAGGCAAAATGCACTGTCATTTACCTGCAGAATAGGGTCAAGTGCGAGCCGGGAATATTGAATAAAAAAAAACCGTATCTCCCTCATCGCTGTCATCCGATCCACAATCATCCCCGTCGCCATCAACAGCGACAGCACCAGAAGCATAGATTTATCCCCTTACCTCATTACCTTAAATCCATTATCTCGGGATTCGCATCTGTATGCTCACGCGTTATTACTTACGCACATGAACTGGTCGTATATTAGATAAAGACCCAAATTATTACAATGAAAATGCATATGCGATCAGCCGCATGGGAGATGCAACAGGATGGTACATAAAACTGGGGTCAGACAGGACAATCGCCTATTTCTGGCAGCGAAAGTTGAATTCAGTTCGAAAATCAGAGATTTAAAATTAAACAGCAAGGAAACCGCTTGATAACTTGTTTATGCTGAGCGATCCTGTTGAGTTTTTTCATTTATGAGTGACATCCAGCAACTGCTGGTCTGGCTACATGCAGGAGAATCGCAGCGTACCTGATCCATAACTTGAGAAACAGATTTGACTAATAAACGAAGCGACTCCACTTCCTCCGAACAAACTGACTGGCCTTCTGGGGCCGCAGGGCTGCGAAGTGGCTGACCGAAAGAAGCTGGGGTCGGAGCTCGGCGATTCGCAAACTCCATACGGTAAGCCCATTGCTCCAGTTGGAGGAAACGATTGTACACCACGGAGAGACATACACACAAGATGAGGCTCCTGCAAAGGAGGGGAACATAAAAGTTAATCTGAAAAGTACAAAGAAGAAGGAGAAAACACTGATAGCAGCTGACATAGGTGAAGAAAAGAGTGCGGAGAACAGACAAAATGAACGAAAAAAGCATGGACGGAATTTTCATATGATGGGCAGTTGCTAGAACTTTAAAATACTACACGTTATGTCATTTATGTCCTCCTTGACTAACAAAATACACTTAACAGAATGCGGCTAGGATTATGCAATTAATTCACATATCGTTATACTCTCCGCAACAGACAGATTTTTCAAAATAACCTTAAGTGTCACACCAAAGCAGCACTAAGTTAATAGCCTTTACCTATGTTAGATCTATACGATCAAACGAAAATGGCAATGCAACTTGCTGTGGGTGTTCTCCGGAAGGGGAAAAAGTAGATACTGCAGACATATGGAGTTCGAGGGCATCGTGTTGGTCTCAACAAAGCTTCCCGTGTGAGTTATAAGGTTCTACCAAACTAGCCCCAGGCCACTGGGTAGGCGTCTGTAAGCGACATCGAAAGCGACTGTCATCAGGTTGGGGAAGCCCGCCTTGTACGTACAAAATAAAGTCCTACAAGGTCCGCGCTTAACACAGTCAATAGCCGCTTAACTGCCTGCACTCCTCACCCCCCCCTTCCACCTGGAACTGGTCCACCTAACCCCCACTTCCATCCAACCCAGTGTATCTTACTACCCCTATTCACATACCACATTTGTAAAAAAAAATACGAACGTTATTGATCGCATGCTGTAAATTTGTTCCCCATTCCCATATACCTGTACCGACTCGACGACAATTTAGCAAAAACAAGCGTAGGATCGCTAAA